TATAATAGCAGGTGCCGTTCTGCAAACTCTTCTGCTCGGTATTGTCACGGCCTGCACAAACTGGGAAAACCAGGTCCTTTTTCCTTTTCTTCTTGTCTTTCTTCTTCATGACTTGTTTCCATAGTGAAATAAACATAAGAGATATTCAATTGGATACATATTTGAACTCTAGGCCCGTGATGCGAGGAAGCGAATGGCTGTCGCCTAGGGGTAACGTAAGGTGGCGACGCAGAACATCACTTACCAAGTCAGAATTCCACATCTAAAGATCACAGGGACCAAATGTTGCTCTGGTTTGGACTAGTGGTAGCTGCAAAAAATAGGTCTTCTTGTTGTTGTAATGACACTTAATGATTTTCAGCGGTAATAATAAGCATCATGAATGATCAGTCATTGTCGCAATCAAGCTATATATTTCTGATTGTTCAGAAGTGCCTTGGACGGAAAATGATGCAAAAGGAGCCTTGTGTGTTCACTACAACAAAGAGCAATGATCAAATTCAGCGATCTGCGAGCTTTGACCAAGACGCGGTGTTGATGGAGTGATTACAGCCTCTGCAACCACCTCATATCTCCAAATTGGACAGCATCCCATCTCCTATCACTAGTTCTACTTGTCCCAAAAGGATAAGTGAATTACTGGATCCAGAAACTCATATATCAAACTTGCTCCATCTTCTTATTCAAAAGTTTACAAATCCCACATCAGTGTGACCCATGATACAAGTTCCATCAACACTTGTGTGTGTGTGTGTGCTATAAAGAGAAACAAACAAAAATGAAACTTTTTGAGGAATAGCATTTCATTTTGAGTTATGGTTTGAGGAAAATTCCAAGAAAGTTGACCAGTTTCGTATCCATTTCCAAAGTTGTACACAGCCATTTTTTGGGTTTTCTGAAAGAATTGATGGGTTATATAATCTTTCCAAGAAGATGATCACAAAATATTGGACTTGTAACAGATACAATTTCGCCTAACCAATGGAAAAAACAGTGACTTGCACAAAAAAGTGTGTGGATAGTAATGAAAAGGTAAACACGAATATGAGTCAAACAAAGCCTTTCCAGTTTCCATATACATTATTCATTGATTGATATATTAGTTAGTTATTATTAGTAGAAAAATATAAATTCTTCACCACAGACAAAAATGCCAAATGGAGACAAAATGTCTTACGATACTGACAAAACATTGAAAAGAACAGAGCGGAAACCGATAATTGAAGACAACATGATCATCATGTAACATGCATATTTCTGGGATCTAAACCTATAATAGATCTAAGATCATGCAGAATGACGACAAAACCCCACCAACTTCTTTGACCATTTCCTCACAAACAACACAAA